TAAAAGTTCTCTTGGCACTATTAGTTATAAGCCATAAGCATCACTAATCACTTTTGGTTACTTCCCTAGCAAAAGGAGATTTAGTGGCTTGACATTTGCTTTATTTTAGATTCAAAAATATTTTGTTTTAGGTTACATACAAAAATTGAAGTTCCTAAAAACGTTAAATAAAATATTTAAATGTAAACTGATAAACAATAATTTGTAACTTTTAAATAATTTTAATAAATTCTTTCTAGATTTTAATATGATGCTCTGTAAATATATTACAGAAAGGGTAAATAACAAAGTAATTGGCTAAAAGGTTCCCAAGAGCCTATATCTAGCATGAGCTAATAATCTTTGCTATAATAATCAAGATTTTTAGGCTGAAACATAGAAGACTGACTTCACTGTTGGTGAATCTAATAAAATAGTTCTTCAAAATTAATTCATAAGAAATTACAGAATACTGAATTGTATTCAATAAACACCTGCTAAGAGATCAAGTAAAATATGGTACTTAATCCCTGTTTCATTCTATACTTCTCTTAATTCTAAAATGCAGGTGATTTAAATTGTTCATTTTAGATAGGTGTAAGCTTAAATTCTGAATTTTTAATTAACTTTCCCCTGTTTTACTAGTACTTACTAATTTTTAAATGTCAGATTGGCATGTGTTTTCAATTGTTGTCTATTCTTAATTCAGTTTTTAAAAAGTAGCTCAAGATAACTGCTCACAAAAGATCTCTCAATTACCAAACTATTTCTCTAATGAACATATTATATATCCAATTACACACATCAGTAATTTCACAATTGTTTTTTTATTTTTGTTTGAAATTTTTTGCTTATTATTTCTTATGCTTTGCAGTTTCTGGGAGGAAAGTTACATAAAGCATTTGTAAATAATTGGGTTGCATCTCGGCATTTCAAATAAGATCAAATACGAAAATAACGAAGTCATATTCAAGCAAAGGAGTTTTTTTGTAATGGGACACATTTCCTTTAAAGAAATCTTTAAAAGGGAAAGTATAAAGTTCAATACTTAAATATTTTGAAGATAGTTCACAAACACTTAAGTTAAATGTCATTTATTTTCTAAAATGTACAAATGTCTTATTTTTATTATCACTCATGCACTATAATAGCAGGGAGAATAGCAACAAATATTCTTTGAACACTTCAACAAACACAATGTAAACACTCACTTTAATAATGCTTCCTTTGTTAATACAAAGCTGAGTGCATTTTTTCTTTGCCTCTGGCTGAGCTGTGACTGAGTAGCAACAGCAGAGTGCTGAAAGAATTTTTCAACAGCAATTTGCTTGTTCTAATTTACTTTTCAAGGTTGATGATCAGGATCACCATGTTGCTTGCAAAAAGATCTTATTGCCATTAATTTGATTCAATCATTCCTCTTGTCCTCATCATATACAGTTCCCCTGAAAGCTTTGAGTGAATCGGAAGTGCCACCAGTGCTCAAGTTCTGTAATTTCATATATATAACAAACTCCTATAACCTTGAGAAACGAATCTGTCATACCCACTGGGAAAGATGGGTACAGAAATGACTCAGATGTGACACCTCTGCCCTTTGTTCGTCAAACAGAAGAAATACTCTTTGTAGTCAGTAGACCTATGCAACAATAATACCAGAGCATTATCTGTTCAATCCTAATTCTGTTTAAATAAAGAAATTCTAAGAGTGATAATCATCACTCATCAGCAAAATAAAAAAAAACAGAACCTGTAATTTAAAAATTTTACATGATGCATATTGCAAAAGTAAGGCTTATTTCAAATGTGTTAATATTCTAAAAATGTAATGGGAAGTAATCACGTTATCTCCCACACCTTTCATACATTTCGAAATAGGTGAATTTTCCCAATCTCTTTTCTGTGAAGAACCTTGTACAGTCCCATTGTGTACAGTTCCAACATTCAAAGAGCCCTAGCTAAGTGATTTGGAAAATTCAATGGTATTATATTCTTCACACTAAACACAACTAAAAAAACTACAGAACAGGCCAGGAAAAGAAATTCTTCTCTCAGACACTGGAAAATTAACAAAGTTAATAATTTAAATAAAATAGATCACATTTACACAGGTTATGCTTCTAAAAGGGAAAAATCACAGGGTTTCAAAGTAAATACAGCCATAAATTATCTCTTTATAACCTGCAGAGGGCACTCTAGCCCCTTGAAAGAAAAAGTAAAAATTTTAAGATAACAACTTTTTTCATTTTTGTTATTAAAAGTGTTATCTAAACCATTTTTAAACAAAACTACCATTTAAAAATACATTTAAAGGAAGCATACACATTGACTTTAAATGTTTAATAGATTATTAAAATATACAAATGTTCACGTCCTATTGGAAAAACAATTCAGCAGGTGGTTTCTATCCCAGGGCGTGTCAGTCTGCAAATGCTGTGCATCATACATTACCACCACACTCACCGCATTGCCCACAATCATGCCGATTGGCCGGGGCCTTAGAGAAATCAACACGGACCTCAGAGTAAACCCTCTTGTAAGGCAGTAAACTAGTAATACAGGTAAGGCCTTGCACTGTTCCAGGCTACATATGAACAATATTATAACCACAAAATGGCTGATAAAAAAAATTAGAAGCTAGTGGGAAAGCCTTCAGTTCATAAGTTTTCAATTGTTTTATAAGAGTGATTTCATGAGTTCTTTGGCAATTTTTATTTTAATGAACCGTTTCATTACTGCTAACATTGTGTTTGGAGGGAAGATATTTAAATATCTGACTTTAAATGTTCTTCCTCTGACATGATACTGAAATATTTCATTAGCAAACCCACCAAGTCACACACACTATGTATTATGTATATTACATATTTTATATAGCTTCTTATACATATTTTATATAGCTTCTCTGATGTCATATTTCAAAATACATTGTAGCATTTTATTAACTAAACATTTACTGCATAATGAATTATTAAAAATACTAGTATCTTAGCAACATAGCCAGGGGATCTTGCCTTTCATCTTATATTTTGATCCTCAATTTCTGTGATTAAGTAACTTACTATCAAAAGATATTTGGAAAGTTTGGTTACTAAAATGAAACTCCAGAGGCTGACACCAAGGTAAGTTAAAAACCTACTTCTTCTAGTCATTGTTTCAACTTAGAAATTGGGTCATAAAAACCCTAAGCAAAAAAAATATGTAAGAAAATTATTTAAATACATACCTTGTATTGCAAACTGCTACTAGAATAATGAACAATTATAAAGTATTTAAAATGCTTTGTGTATAATAAAATTAATCACTAATAATAATTTAATATTTAAAAACAAATTTTGTTAAAAATTATTGTTTCTTTTTTAAGGGTCTTGAAATATGTGAGGAATAGATTTCCAAATTTGATATCTTGCAAGATAAATATTGACATTGGTAAGCTTTTAAACATGAATTTTTTGAGAAGCCCTAGGGCATGAAATACATCTTAAAATTTTATTCTTAAAATATTGTGCAAAATTCCATAAAATATTTCAAAGTTTTAAAGTTATGGAATTGATACACAGTTAAATGAAAAGAAGGTAGACGAATGGTAAACAGTACTGTGGAAAATGGCTATTTTGATAATTTAATTCTTAGAAGTATTTCTGTAACAGCATCATTTACCTTTAATGAACAAAAGTCTTCTTTATGAACAATTAAAATAAAATGAATGCAATTATTCTTAAGTTGGGAAAATAAATTGTTTTCCTCAAGAAAGAACAAAGTTAACAAATAAAGCTTTGAAACCAGAAGCCTTAAGATGAATAATTGTGTATTACATGTTTTCCCCAGTTGGACTCACCACATAGCAGGGCATTTTTTAATGGGAGGAGAGTGGGATGAAATCATGCAGTTTAAGAAAACAGAAGCATGTTTCTCAACCTAAGTTGTAGCCACTGCTTTGATTTTTGGGTTATCTCAGGGCCGATAAGTGTATACTCCACTACATGAAACAAAACCAGAAAATATACCTAAAATGTAGTCTTTGTTTCTTCTTTCTTCAAAGCTTGTTTTCTAAACTCATTCTTAGGCAAAGCAAAAAGAAATGTTTGTTTTATTACGTAAGAAATAAACTTCATTTGGTATTCAATTGACTTTCTAACTTAGCAGACAGGACTTTACATCTCCAAATACTGAAAATAAATTACATTCTTGGCCCTTGCTTTAAAAGGTTAGAGAGAATAAATGCACACCCTGGTAGTGTTCTAGTGATCTCCCTAATCTCAGTTGCACTTTGTCAGAACGAGGTAACTGGTAGTTAAGTGAAATACCCTAGATCAAAGGGGGATTAATCACCAACTGAATCCTTGCTGAATAAACCTGTCATTCAAGAAAATTATTTCCACTGAACTTAGCAGAGGATTGAAGGTATTTGCATAACAGGGACCAACGCACTTCAGCCAGGTTAAAAGGTTCAGAATTCATCCTATGTTTAGCTTTTTGCCTCCTTTTCCTTTCAGCAGCGTGGTACAATGGTTTCTAATCTGATAATACAGCTAACTATCTAAATGATGTCAGAACAGGAAAGTATTGCAAAGTTTGGATGAGGGATGGATCAATTTCACTTTCAGTAACTCCTAAATCTGATTTGTTGGAATTTAAGATGTAATCCTAAAAAAGTCCCTTAAACCTGAGGACTGTTTATTAACATCCCTTTTCTGACCTTTGTCTTAGAAACAACCGTTCAGCTGCGGCAGCAGTCCTGGCCCAGGCTCTGGATGAAAGCCCCACCTACCTACCTCCCAGGGGCGGAGCAGGAGCTATGCGTGGCTCTAAAGTGACATACTATAATACTGAAATACTGTAATAAAAATATTAGTTGTTATTCTTATGTATAAAATTGTGCTTTTATACAGTGTATAAACACAATAATTTAACTCAAATATTTAGTTGATGTAAAAAGAACTTAAATTGTATCAGACTGTTTAATTAAGAAACCATTTTTAACCAAATAGTTTTTTAAAGAACTTTTGACAAGGCTATTGTTTACTTCAAACCTGATCTTTAAATTAATTATTTAAAAAAGTAAAAAAAAATGCCCACCCCTGTTAAGTGTATTTACTGGCTTTAAAAAGTTTTAAAAACATTGTTTAGAAAAAAAGGGTTATTATCAAAATCATGAACCGTCTTTTCTGTAGCACTTTTTTTTCAGAAATGTAACACTTTCTGTACCTTTTGAGTCTACTGAAGCATAATTACTTATATGATAGATATTATATCTCATAATCATATTTTTGCACTAAAAGGGAATTTAGCCATTTTGCATCTAGAGTAGGTGTGATACCATCCGAATCTGTGGAAGTAGGTGCTCATATTCACTGCAAACGCAAAGCATCTTTCAAGTTAAAAATGCAAAGAATAGTTATCAAAGAAAATGAATAAAATCCATAGTGAGATAATTTTTTAGAAAATGATTGAAGTTTTAACCCAAGAAAGGACTCTTAGAGTGTCTTATAGCTTAGAATAAGAGCATGTCAATCACGATTAAGCTTCTGGAATCGGAATCCCTTTGAAATGCAGCTGTTTCTTCTTTAATTGTGGCAGCAGACTCTCAAGAAAAGAAAGGTCCAGCCTTAAAGATGAGTAAGGAATACAAAATAGCTCAGGATTAGTTGTGGAGTTCAAAGGTCGCTAATTACACTAAGGAGTTCCCAGACACAGGGAAAACATTAAACAGGTCACCTACCAAACGGGAAACGGACTTTGTCTTCAGAAATTATCCTGAAGTGACAGGTTTCTAGACAAAATCAAAAGCATCACAATGTGTCCAGCTGATCTTAACAGGATGAAAACATGAGTTGGTTTCAGTTCTGTAGTGCAACATTAGGGCGGGATGGCGACAGATGGCATCAGCTTGCCCATGGCCCACACTCTTTCCAGGACGCCCTAGATTTTCCTCAGGTTTCTAGAAACGTCAAATCAAACATTCACTGGTTTTTCTGATTGCTTATAAAGAAAGTTTTCCCTAGGGGATTATTATACCGAATCATTGTCTACTCACTAGATAAATGCCTCTTGCCTGTTTTAGTGTACTTTGCTAAACATTTATACAATCACGATGCCCAATGGCTCCATTAATATTAATGTAAGTTAAGTGTTAAGCTTTCCTTGAGTTTAAGAGAGATCAAATAACTTAGGGGGAATATTTTTTTATTCTTTCAAAAAAAAAAGGTTTTTACTACTGATTATCTATGATTAAGCTAGAATAACAAGTTAAAAATCCTGGTTAGGCAGTTATTCTATTTCCTTTGTTACTTGGGATAATTTTGAATGGAGAACATTATGCCATGATAATGCCTTGCAGAGAATGAGAGTTTATAATGAGTAGGATTGACTTTACTTTAAAAATCATATTTCAAATCCTAAATTTATAGGCAATATTCCTTCAAACTCTCTTTTAAGGACTTAGCAGCTTTTTCTAAGTCTTTCCTTAGGAAACTCATTAAAAAATAGAAACCAAGATAATTCAATTGAATACTAATCTATAATGTATATTTTTTCATAACACTTCTAATTCTGTAAAAAGAAACTTGACATGAATTAAGTTTTGAGAACCTTGAGATTTCACCTTTTCTTTTTTTTTCCTTTAAATTTTATTTTAGTCATTGTTCAAGTACAGTTTTCTGCCTTTCACTCCCATTTCAGCCCACCCACCCATCCCTCCCCACTTCCCTCCCAGTACCACCCTCCCCCTAGTTTTTGTCCATGTGTCCTTTAAGTTTGTTCCTGTAAACCCTTCCCATTCCCCCCTGAAATTCCCTCTTCTCTCCCCTCTGGTCACTGTCAGCCTGTCCTCTATTTCAGTGTCTTTGACTATATTTTGCTTGTTTCTTTGTTTTGTTGTTTAGGTTCCTGTTAAAGGTGAGATCATATGGTATTGGTCTTTCACTGCCTGGCTTATTTTGAGATTTCACCTTTTCTTGAATGGTCACTTCAAGTCCAACTTGACAATGAACTGCTTTGGAAACAGAATGAGACATAATTGTCAAGACAGGTAGAGAATAAAGAGCATGACTAGATTTTGAGGAATAGTAGGTGCTTAGTACTCAGGTTTGGAAGAACAAATACTTTTTTTTATCTTGCACGTCATCTACAATTCATCGGGAGTGGCTGGATGCCAGTAGCTCTGCACTGAAGAGGAGCCTGAGCCTGCATCCAGAAATCTCAGTGGACAGAGGGGACTGTGATTGATTAGCCATGTTTGCCACAGGTACAGGAAGGACCATGTGGCAGGCTGACCCAGGACTAGTCTAAAATAAGCCTGAAATGAATCACTGGTGGTTTATGCTCTGAATTATATTTGAGTAAAATCAAAGGTAACGAAATTGGAGACATTAATCTTTAAAAAACTTTTTTCAAACTATGTCAGACTAAAAACATCAAACAAGAACATTTTTTAATGATTAAAGCATTCAATGATTTCTCACTTACAGTTATATGTATACACATTAAAATTAAAGACTATAATTTAATGTAGGCTATGTTACTATTGCATAAATCCCATTTAGACATGAGATAATTACAGTAATAATGATCCATATGTTACTGGAGCAGGAGCTTTAGAATTCCATATGTAATAGTCAGAAGAAATTAGTTTCCGGTCTGAAAAATAAAAGAAAGAAATGATAAGACTATATTATATTAACAAAAATTTAGTAAGAGACTGATATTGTAAAATTGTGGAACACAATTATTTCAAGTAAGGCAACACTTTGAAATATTTGTTTGATTTTATCAAGGCATACTTACAACTTTCACCACTTTAAAAACATGAGTTCATTAAAATATTTAAGTAATCCACTTTTAAGCTTATTTATGACAAATTTATGTCAATATGCCTTACTTATGACAAATCTGCTAATTTGCCCCCTCACATTTTCCCTAACTTCTGTTTCTTATGGACCATTACTTCGACAACAAATACTCCTTTTTGTAACCTCTTTACCAAGGTCCTAATTCTGATCTTGTCATTATTCTCTACTCATTCAAAGTTTCAGAGATATAAATATACAACCTTCTAATAATGTTTTTAAAAGACTGCTTCAATGATTTCTTATAGTTTTGATCAAATTTAAGCTTTTTGCTTTAATAGCTTTGTAGCTTTAGACAAATGAACTAAAGCTTTCTGATATACAAAATTAAGGTAATGCTAATTTGAGCTAGACATATGTACTGCACATTTCAGACTATAAGACGCCCCCCTCTGCTCTGGCCCCGTTTGGAGGAATAATGGTTGTTAATGCTGCTGTTGAGTTCTGTTTACATTTACACTGGTGAAATATTATATTATTTATGTTATTAAATATCTTAAATTTTTTGCTTCAAAAATTTTCCCCCTATTTTCCTCCTCTACAACCTAGGTGCATCTTATGGTCCAACATATGTTAAGTTCTTTTTTTATTGTTCAAGTACAGTTGTCTCAATTTTCAACCCACCTCCCTCTGCCCCATAAATTTTTATTATCATATGAATCACTAAATATCCAATTCTGCCTTTTTTTTACTTTTCTTCTTCCTAATGAAAGAATACAGGTAGGATAGCTAGGATGTATTACTTTATCCTTTTTTTTTTTTTTTTTTCCCAGTTTGGGAACTCAACGACATTGAGAGTCAACACAGCATACGGCTTAAGCAGCCAGGCTCCGAGCCAGACTACTTGGGTTTGGTTGCCAGTTCTGCCACTTACTAATCATGTGACCCTAACCTCTCCGTTCTGTCAGCATCCTCATCTGTAAAATGGAGATAACTTAATAGGTGTTGTAAAGATTAATGAGTTAACACATATAAAATATTTAGAACTGTGCCTGGCATACAGTAAACAATAAATGTTAGCTATTATTATTTAAATTAACATTTTACACTCAGTAACTCATGGATATAATCTAAAATATTGGTGTTTGAATTAGATAAAACCACTGGTTTGTCCAAACTGACATTACTATATTATGCCTCCACATACATACAACTTACATTATGAAGACTATTCCATATACATGCATCTCTTTAAAAGACTGTCAAAAAATAAATGGTATAGTAGAAAACAGGAAAAACTTTAGGGAGCTAAAGAATATGACATAGAATTACATAAAATTTATTATTGCTCTTCACAAGTAATTGCTTAGAATACTGTAGTTGAGTTTCAGAATTCTTTTGAAAATTCCAAGTAAGAAGTCCTGTCCTATCTTTTCTATTTTAAGGACCCTAATCCTTAGCTTAAAAAGCTTATCTAAATACAGTAGTTCTTTTCTCCTTAATATATGAGGTAAACCATTTCTGCTTACATTAGCTTACTCTACACCTCATTCTAGCTACATTTCTGTTCTATATCACATATGTGTATTTGTTCTGGATTAAATAATTTTGAATTCACTTATAAATTACTTTTTGTCTCCCTAAATTTTCATATAGATTGTATACATATTTTGTTACAACCAACAAATTCACCAAAGGCAGGAAACCTTCTTTCTATTGCCTTCCTATTTGTAAAATAGAGAAGGTACTAAATAATGCTCATTGCCTACAACATTTGCTAGAAAGTTAAAATTTTAAATAATCATATGTAGCATTTATGGAATCTATGCTACATGCTAAGCATCATGCTAAGTGCCTGGCCAATATAATTTTATTTAAATCTCATGACAGTCACAAGGTAAATAATACTATTATTTCCATTTTACAGATGAGGCAACTAAACTTTGAGAAGTTTGCTTACTTGCCTAAAATCACACAGATAACAAACTGTCTAAGCTAGAATTAAACCTCTAGTCTGTTCAACGCCAAAGCCCCTGTGAGCAACCCCTAAATGAAAGTGTATATTAGCAAAGTAAAATAAATCTAACTGTATACTAAAGCCCAACTCTATGTTAATCCTTGCTCATCCAGACAATTTTACAAACAGAAGACAACAGAGGGCAATGTAAAGTACATCAAATGTTGCACAGAACAGGATTTATAAATTGGGATTGCTCCCTCACCTCTGTGTTACATTTTAATTTTACCTTAGGTAATAACTGCATAACACCATTTTAATTCCCTCAAGTCAGTATGAATCTATACAACTTACGTGTACTTATTTTTGGTTTTCCTGATGCAAAAACTTGAACAGAATGCTGATCTGCATAACACCCAGTAAGTGTGTAATCTAAGATCCTAAAACGAAGCTAGAAAAAGAGAAATGTACCAAAAATTAAGGTGATTCTTTGGTAAAAATAATGGTCACACTTTTTCCTTTGGCACAATTTTAGGAATTTACTTCACACAGTTCACAAAATTAAAATCACAGAATATTAAACCTGAATATTGTGTGTGTGCATATTTACAAATATACACACATCATTTCCCCTTTGCATTAGGGCCATCTTTTTTTTGTAAGGCTGGCATTATGAAGTCCTTCACATGTACCAGGCACTTTGCTAACATGAACTCTAATCCTGCAAAGTATCCCTATTGTACAAACAAGGGAACTGAAGCTAAGAGCTGGCATTTGAACTCAGTCCTGACTGATTACAAAAGCTGATGCTCTGTATATTCTTTTCTATCTCTAGGCTATGTGGTATATTTAGATCATAATTCTTCTATAGGCAGAGACATATATATATTCTACCAAAACACAAGAATGCAATTACTAAAAGAGAAACACCAGTTTATTCTGGTGTTTAGAAGAAATGAGATGCTGTACTTAATGGTCTAGAAAACTGAAATTCAACTTTTATATAAATAAGCTTAGAAATCACCCTTTCTCTCACTTACAAAAGCTTTCTAAAATGTAATCCTTAGTTCCTAGGTTTAATTAATAGTGTGGTATCATGAGTATAAATGCCAATTATTATGTTGCACTGTAATAGAAAGGGCCATTAGTACCTTCTCTGAAAGCAGTGCTGGGTGCCTGCGTCACAATGATAGTCACCGGAGCTACGAAAGTTCTGCAACTTACGCGGCTCCAGTCTCCTTTTGCTGTGCTTCTCTTCATCTTTGCTGCGAAAAGTGCCTAATTTTGCAATATCCTGATATCTTTTACTATGCTTTTCCCCTCCCATCTACATTCTCTGCAAATTTCTCCTATTTCCTAACTTTCTCCTCCCAATTACCAACCTAACTGATCACTTACGTAGAATGTAATTTTCAGATGTTTGACATTTTTTCTCAAATTATCTCAACACTAAAGGGCTTTTCCTTGCTTGTTTGATATAATTCTGGATGCTTAAAGTTACGACAAGATTGATTTCCACAAAACTAGATATTATATAAATCTATTTAGTGAACACAGATAGGCAGTACATACTTCTGATTAAACTATAAGTGGTTAGGTGATGGAGATGAATAGAAAAGTCATAATCCCTACCTTTGAAACACATACAGTTTAGTGACACTGCACATTTTCTTCTGAAAAATATCTGGAAGCAGTAATTTTTAAAATAATCCTTGAAACAAAGCTTGTGGACATAGTTGAAACCAAGACAGAAGAAGTATCACAAGTGTACTTCGGACTTCACCATTTCCCCTAATGCTCTCATGTATAGATTTCAATCTCTCTTCTTTGATACCACTCTGTTTAGGTTTTTCTGCTACCTTTTTGATCACCCCTTCAAGTTCTTTCATCGGTTCTTCCAAGTCTTCCTCCTTATTTTATCTTTTTCTTGATCTTATTTCTACAGTCTCAACTATGGTATTTCTTATCTATGGATAACTCCTAAATCCTGTATACAGTTGAGCTCTCTGAGAATCAAGTTCCAAGTTGTTAGCTACCTACTAGACACTTACACTGGGACATGTTGCTACCAACAGCACCATACATGACATGAAACGCACTCCCTCTCAGCTTTCTCCATATCCGTATTATCTTCTAAGTACTTTATCGATCCATTCATCCAATAGTTATGTGGCAGGTACTGGTCTAGATGCTGGTAATACAACAATGAATGAATGAGACTCGCATGGTCTCTGCTCTTTTGGCACTTGAACTCTGGTTTCAGTTATACCCTTTTTAAATCAGTGGTCCCCAATCTTTTCTGCACCAGGGGCCAGTTTTCCCACAGACTGGCAGTGGAGAGTGGTACTGGTCCACAGCCTAGGGGAATGGGGACCTGTGCTTTAAATAACACCATCTTTGATTTAAAACTATCTCTTGTCTCTATATTTAATTAGTGACCAAGGCTTTACCTTTATTACAACTCCTATAGCAGTCTCTTTCTGTGATACCATAGGAGCTCAGCATGATTAACTTATTACCTTTCATCCAGAATACTATTAGAGCTAAAAAAGTTTGTTTATAGTTATTATTTCTCTTGCCTTCCTCACATACATTCTAGATTAATCTTCATATAGTATAACTTTCTGAAAGAACATTCCCCTCTCAAAAAAATTGTATTTTCTAACAAAGGAATAGAAGTCAGATTCAAACCCTCTATAATCCAGATCTAAATCTTATCCAGCCGTATGTGTTACTATTGTTCCTGATACTGGTTCCTAGATGCTTTGTTATCCTTCATTCCTGTGATTAAGTTACCTCTTTAACCTATACAAATGTTAGTCAATCTTCATGTTTTCATTTTCATGCTTAGCTGGGCCTCAGAGTTTTGTTTAAATTCCATCTCTACTGTAATGCTTTCCTTGACCACTTCGGTCAGAAGTGCTCACTCTTTCCTTGAAACACCAAAAATAGTTAGCTCTGATCAATTATTGACACGGACCATTGAAAAAAATCCCTAGAGGAAAAGGACTACATCTTACATTTTTGGTATACAAATCTCAAATATGATCATTGCAGTTAGGCAGAACTAGATTGAGTTGAGGTAGGTAGGCCATATTTACCTGTTTCACGTTAAAAGTTTTAAAGTATAAAGTGAAATAGAAACTGACTAATACTAAACAAAAAGAATCTCACAAAAATAAAAAAAGAATAGCACAGACAAAACCCACACACCCAGAATTTTAAAAAGTTGCTAGAAAACATAGAAAATTAATTAGATATATGCAATTTAGAAACAAAGGAAAGGTTTCTAATATATTGAGTCATAGAAATATATTTACCTTTAAATATGCTGTATTCCCAGTGCAAATGTGGTCAAATGGCTGCTTCTCATGGTTCCTGGCTCCAAAAGTTACAGTTCCAGAAAGACTAATTTCCATTGATTTTGGGAATTTCTGTCCTAAAAACAAAAATACACAATATCCTAAGTTAAGCAGATTCTACAGCTAGTGAATGAAAAATAATCAATAAACAAAACCCAGCTCACCAATAATCCAGATCAATAAGCTTTTCTCTCGGAATACTTCGAGCTGGCCAAAACTAACTTTGTACTCCACATGTGTGATTGGACCTCTATAAAAAAGGACACAATAAAAAAAAATGATCACAGAGACAATAATTTTAAGGAATCTAAGTCAAATCTTGCTACTGTTACTTAATACAAGATAAAAGCATTTCTATATTCAAGTTTACAGAATAGAGTAGAACAAATTATTATATCTCAAAAAAACACCAGAAACACAATAAATATTTTTGGTGATGACATATATTTCATTATTAATTCTGAAGACATTTTTGGTGATGATTTACATTTTATTAGTAGTTCTAAAGACATCTATAAAAATCATACAGAATATATAAACAGTCATATGGATTGATATAACATTAAAACTATTATTTTATTATACACTAGATACCCTTTGAAAAGAACCATACTGTAGAGCAAGTTTAAGAGAATTATGAGGATACAGTCGACCCTAGAACAACACAGGTTTCCTACACAGTTCAAACCTGTGTTGTTCAAGGGTCAACCTTTCACATCCATGGTTGGGATCTACAGGTGTGGAGGGGCAACTGTAGTTAAACTTTTGAGGGCTCAGAAGTTATAGGTGGAGTTTTCCACTGCGCAGGGGTCAGTGGCCCGACCCTCGATTGTTCAAGGGTCAACTGTAATCTTATGATACGACTGACTTAATTCATTCACCATGTAGCTGATAGTTGGGCTTGACCTGACTTGTATGCAGAGTACAGAGAAATTGCTAGAAATAAAGCCAGGAGTGAAACAGTCTCTGAGAAAGCTACACTGGTATAAGTTTATATTTACTGGCAGGTATAACCAAAAAATAAAGACACATGTAAAGGTAAAGAGATTATTTTTATTGACCACGTTTTGGTTCAGAATCAGCATTCATTTGAGAGACATAAAAAATCTTAAAAATAAGGTAGAAAAAGAAAGACAGGTAATTTATGGCGGGGCAGTGAAAATGTACTGAGGAAGGAAGAAATTATGGCATCATGTTATTTTATTCCTACCTATTGTAAAATGGTATATGAGCTTCACAGAATTCAAAATTGTTTTTCACACTTTCATGAAGTTTTAAATTAGCTGTTATTTTTAGTTGTAGTCCTTCCTCTTTCATTTGATAAAAGCCCAAAATTGGGGGGACAGGTACCTGGAAATAAACATAAACAAACTTTTCTATAATACTAAGGTTAATAAGTCTAAAATATCAATGGTGATTTACAAAACAAGTCTATGCTCAATATATACAGATATGTCTTTAATGACTACTGGGTTACTCTAAGTTGTTTGGATAATAGATGATGGAGTTACATTTGTTGTAAGTACATGGATTCTTCCATCTCTTTCTGTCTTCAGAGATGAGAAAGGTGCTTACAAAGGTGTGCAGTACATTCTTACATTCTTCTTCCTACTCTTGTTAGTCTAGGTTCCTCTCTTCCCTTCCTCCAGATTCTCTGTGACCTGCAATTCAGGACATGCACTAACACACTGCCCATAGTTCCTGCTGCCCTATTTAAAAATTGTGATTACCCCCTACCCATCAGAGACTTAATTAATTGGTTATCACTAATCAACTGAAAGGGAGACAATCTGTAGGGTGGAATGAGCCAATCACTATTTCTATAAAAATGAAGTAAAAAGCAGGAAGAACCTATTTTATAGTATGTATCCTAGAGCTGGAGGACACGTGTGAGCAGAGAAAGCCAGTCGGAAGAGCAGACTGAGAAGCAGAGATGAGACAGCCAGTATAGACCTTGAGTACAGAGTGATTTTAATTTTAATTTTCTGATTCTAGTTCTAGTATGGCCTGGGTCTTCTATTTCTTATCCTTGAATGACAATGAGATCGCCCCCTGCATTCTCAAAATTAACTCTCTTTACTTAAGCTAGCTTGAGTATGTTTTTCTAAACTACAGATTCACAATTACAAGAGACAAATGGTACAGTAGAAAAGATGTGGGGTTCAAATGTAGGCTCTGCAACTTATCAGTTATATGACCTTGTACAAGTCATTTAACTTCTCTGGGACCCTCCTCATGTAAAATGGGGCAAATAATACCTATTCTCAGGGGCTTTAAAAGTACTAGAGAAAATATAAGTGAAGTGCCTAGGATAAGGTCTGACACATAGCAGTTATTCAATAAGCAATAAAGAGCTATTAATAATATTATATATTTGTAATCATAGTTGCCTAGGATTAGGGAGGTATTTTTAAATGTTCACAGTTCAAACAATGACTAAAACATACCAAGTTCTTTCTTATGAGCATGAATTCCTTATTCAAAAACATTAAAAAAAAATCCCATGATTTTGAAAACCATTCAGTGCTGTTACAGACACTAGAGATTAAGAGGCATCCAGGTCAAAGAATTGAAACTTCATCATCATCAATCACTCTCTGGTAAATAACTCATAAAAAGTTTTCCTTTGGACCAAATGTATGACTTGCAAAGTCTCAACTTTTCTAAGGTTGTTTACCTGGGAGGTGTAGTAGCATAAGTTGAATGACTCTAAAGGTGGACTGAATGGAAATTTGTAAGGTCCGCTAAATGCAGAATCATCCATTGCATCGATGCTACTAGAAGTCAGAATGGCAGAGTCAAGAGAAGTCACACAAGGATGAACTAGAATATCCTGAAGTGGAGATCCATTGGTGGGGAGACTCAAGCTGATGGTAACATTTGGCATGATTCCTTCTAAATCACACTGTAATACAAAAGGAAACACATTACCAAGATCTTAGAAGCATAAATCTTCTGGGTGAGGCTTTTCTGGCTTTATCTGAGTCATTTTCCACAATGTAACTCACTTTTCTCTTAAGGTATTGTTCTCTGTGCTTTCTGTGCTCTCGTTAACAGTCTGATCATGCTCTCAGACATCCAACCCAGAGACCAGGAGAACCTTCCTATATTTACAACCTATATTTACAACCCTTAAAAAGCTATTTCAAACCCACTGACTTCATTCCTGTTGCAAACACATTGGTACAGGCCCTTACAATTTTTGTCATAGTCTTCTAAATGTATTTGGATTTGTTTTCTTCTAATCAACCCACCCTTGATCAGTGTCAAGTTATCTTAATAAAAAGATAATTCTCATTATATTTTGTCCACATTCAAAACCTTTCAGTAGTTTTCTCTGTTTTGTATTACTTTTAAAGCCTTTCATTTCTTTAATCATTTGTCTACCCTGCAACTAATGCTGTAGACATAGGATGCTTTAATTTTCCTGAATAAATTATAAAGTGTTTTACCTCCATGCTTTTGCATGTGCTGTTCCCTCCAGCTACAATCTTCTTTTCTCTTTGTAACCTCAGCTTATTTGATGCTTTGTGCGAGGCCTTACATTCTGTATTGTCACCTCCAGAGCCTACCCCTCCAATGGAGAGAAGCCCAGGATCTTTCTCCTGTGTGGTCTGGGTTAGTTTGCCAATGAGAGGTACTCATGAGAGACTTGGGAGGTAGAAGGGAAAGGGAAGTCAGTATTCTAGGAAGGCCATGGAAGCCAAATTTGACAGCTTCACAGACCTCTGTTTTTCTTGGTACCTCTAGTGTCTAGCATGGGGCTATGCATAAGAGACACTTAAAATATGTTTGCTGAATGGGTCACTGTTTTCTAATTTAGAAGCCTACCTTTGTTTACCATTCTAATATGAAATATTTCACCTTTTTGTTTTATCTACTGTTGACATATGTGTGAATTCAAGAATATACGTGCTATAAAATGTAAGCACATAGGGAGCAGGCAAGCATATAAACAGTACCATGTATACTTAGTGTCTTATAAAGGTCTTTTGGGGACAGTTACAATAAAATCAATCACATTTGAAAATAAAAATGCCAAATAGTCTTACTACAAAACTTTAAAATATTTTAGTGTTTCAACTTCTAAACCATTTGCTACTTTACTTTCTCCATGTGAGCTAGCAAGAAAAATGAAAAGTTATGATTTTAGACAGGTATTTGTGGGTAATAAAAAAGCAAATATTAATAGCAAATACTATTAAAATTTTAAAATATTCAGTTTATACTTATTAAATTAGCTTCTAACATTCTTACATGGATCAGAAAATTGTAGCCATTATGGAAACCACCAACAAATTATCCACCTCCTAGGCATTTAAAATACCAGATCACCAGTCATCTACCATAGAATGAGGACATTTATTCCAGAAGAAATCTATGTACTACCTTTTAAATCAATCTAACATATATAAATGTAGACTTTTAACTAGGAATTATGAAAACAGAAGGGACCTAGGAACTTAATCTGATTTTAAAAATCAGAAAAGACTTAAAAACATTATGAATCTTCCCAAGGCACACAGAGAATTAGTGGTGGAGTAGGGACTAGAACTTCAGTCCATTGGCTTTCGGCTGACTACCAGGACTAAGACAAAATGAAGACAGTCACTTCTATTTATAATAGGCTTCACAATAAAACTCCTTTAAATACTAATTTCCTGAAGTACTTAAAAGATGTGTGGCTAACAGATACAGTATTCACATATAAGTTTAAAGAAACATTTAGTGTGTGGGTTAAGGTGCACCCTTGCACTTTTTATGTTTAGAATAAAGTTTTTCAAAGAAGAAAGTTTTCTATCGTGATAATTTGTATCAGACAAGGAATAGGACTCAATCCAAAATTCCCACACACAGTAAACTAGGGTCAGCTTATTAATGAATTGAGACATTTAAACATCATGATATTAATAGTAAATGATATATAACATATTGCCTATTTATTGTCACAGAACAAAAAAACAGAATTGATGGATTTTCCTACTTTTAGCTCACAGAATTTATAAGAAAAAAAAAGATTAAACTGTTGTAAGACTTACAAATAACAACCCATGGACACCACAATTTCGAAGCTCTTCATAACACTTATTTCTAGTGACCTCAGTAACAGCTACGTATTTTTGATCATGATGGAATTGAGTTTAACATACTAACTTTTAGATCAATTTAGGTTAAAAGGGAAAAGGAAGACCCAATTTGTCTGGCAGGACTGTTCTACTTCTCTGTTCTTGAAATCTACTTTTATCTATAGAAGTTGTACATAGCTACTCAATATTAAGTTTGAGATATAAAAAGTTTCTATTCATAATGCAGAGAATAAAGAAGTATATCAGAAAAATAAAGATATCTGAGAATGTTAACACACACTTTTAAAAATTGTACTTGGAAGGTTTTTATTTTAGATCATTATTCAACATGGTACTGATCACTGCTAACTGTATTGTTATTTTTATTGTCTTTTCCTATTTTCTAACCAGATAACCCTATATTAACTCACTGACTTGTTTAAATAAAACAAGAGCCCTTCAAAATGGTTTTAGATATTAAATCAAGTTTGTCAATTTCACCCCTGCTAGAGAAAATGGAAAATAGGTATAGTGGTTTTAAAATATTTCCACAAATTTTTTACTCTTTTTGAAAGGTGGAGCCTAAGTCCAGCCTCTTTGAATGTGGACCAGAGTTAGTGACCTGTGCTAACAAACAGAAAATGGTGGAAGTGATGCTCTCTAACCTCTCAGTCTTGGTAATAAAAAATTGCTTCTACCCATGCCCTGCATCTGTCTCTTGTCCAATCATTTGATCTACAGGAGACTAGTCACCAAGCTGTGAGGGCTTTCTCTAGCAGCTTGTTGAGAAGGCCACGTGTAAAGGAACTAAGTCCTCCCACCATTAACTGGTCATGTGAATGAGCCACCTTGCAAGTCTGGCTTGTAGCCTCAATCAAACCTTTGGGTGATGTTGCTCCAGCTGATACCTTGACTGTGACCTCATGAGAGACTCTACACTAGAAGTTCCAGCTAAGCTGTTCCTGAAATCCTGACCCACAGAAAGTATAATAAATATTCTTTGTTGGGACAATGGGCAATTCATTACAGAGCAATATATAACTAATACAGTTAGTAGGAATGCAAAAGGTAACTTTACTAAATTTGACATGAATCTAGTATCTAATGACTGCTGTTTATGATAAAAATCAATAATGTCACATAACAATGTAAACTAAGGTTAGCAAATTTTATTTTCTCCATAGATGATAAAACAAGTACCAGAGAAAAATCTCACCTTGCAAGTGACAGCTCCAATTACTTGCCATGTATCTGCTATATCCTTTTTATCATATTGCATAGAGTTCACCTTTTCAGTGATAGAAATAGAAACTTGTGGTTTTCCTTTGTATGTTCCAGCTTTCCAGGCTGGTTGTTTTTGTGGATGAGACACAAAGGCTAAATTAATACTATCCAACGAATTCTGTAAGTTGGCATCTAACAAAGTTCCAAATGGGCAAGCCTGTAGAAGCAAGTCAGGCAATTGGCTCAATTTTGTATTTAGCTCAGTGTCATTTTTTGGACTTGAGTGAAGAAAATCCTGTATCCCAAAGAGAAATTCAAAGCCTTGTGAAATTGCACTAATGCTAATTAATGGTGGACGAGGGGATAAAGTTTGTTCAACTAGTGGAACACAAGCATATACTATGCCATTCTTCAGAAAAGCAACCACTGGCCAGAGTTCTTCCCCTCCTACTTTAAGTCCATAGACAGACGTTTTATTGATGTGAGAACAGCTATCTCGACTCTCCACAAAGTCCTTATCTTCATCCAATAACCTAAGTTCGAAGAGCAGTGATTTAAGAAAGGGACCATCTTCAGGAATAGGCACATAACTTGCTCCATTGAAGACTTTGGCTCGTTTTTCAACAGTTGGATACCGCCTGCAGTATGGAAACAGAAAACATTATAAATGATTCTTCCAAATAAAATAAACATGAAAGAATCCAATGCCCCCCCTAAAAAACTGAAGGCAAACAGTAATAATGAAATACACAATAATAAATACCTACACACACAAAAAAAAACCACAACCTAAAAAACATTTTATTACATGTTGAGTTCTGACTATAGTAATTAACTGTTGTATACTTAGTATATTATCTCAAATGATAAAGTATCATTATCTATTTCTAAAAATAATTCAACTTAGTTAATTTTTTAAAACAGGTAGAGCACATGGTTCTAATTCGAAATCTTAGTCTCTCAGCCATTCAGATTCCCACTTCGCAGGCAAGGATTGTACACCTGGACACATTTTGGGCATCTACAAGAACTCCCCCCACCCCCGATTCATCTTAGTAGAGTAGGATCAAAAGAAGTGGTTCAATTTAACTCTCAATAATTTTGAATTCACTAGTTGAGATGATACAATTGTAAAAGGAATGTTCTATTTTACTCAACCTATAATGAATAACAGGTACCCTGGGTTTTCTTGCCAACCCCTACAAAAATATTACTGAGCATTTCAGTAATAATGGTTTACCTCTCTGGCCCTGGAAGATAGTATGAGGTCATAAAAAAAGAATATAATCTGAATAATTTTTTTATGATTTGCATGTTCTAGGGTGGATGGTAAGTTTCTAATTCACCCCTTCACGTGGGGAATCAGAATAAAAGGTGCTTTTGTTCATTTACAGAAATGTTCAATTGGGTTTTCCTAGTTAAAAAATCATGTGTTTTCCCTATTCCTCACCTCTCTATTCCACAGTCCAGACCAAAGTCGCCTACTGTCTGTTAACTTCTCTGTAAAGCACCTAACTTTGCCAAGTCTTTTTTTCTTATTTGTAAAATAAAGGGGTGGCTAAAGAATATACCAGTAATTCTCATCAAGGATAAAGAACATACCTGGCCAAGATTATTTTTTTCACTAATTCTACTAATAAAATATTGATGTTTACTAATATTCTTTAAAAAGAAAATAAGAATGTATTCAAGTTATCAATATATTAGTAAAGCTTACTCATTTACATTCTGATGCTTTTTTTTTTTAATTGAGAAGGGGAAAGAATTAGCACTCCAGTAAGGGAGTATCAGGTAAATGCCATTTCTTTCTTTGAGTCTCTGAATAAGAATTGTTGAGAACTTTGGACTAAACTCTAGTACAGTGTCTTATCCTCTAGTTACCTAAAGGATAATTAAATTTCTTCTTAAGGGTAAGAATCTCATGACTGAATATAAACATAACAAGTTAATTTGGGACCTTTTACAATGCTTCAATATGTGATCAATAAATATTTTTGTTGGATGACTCAAACTGTCATTTTAGATTTATTCAAGGCCTTTTCTAAAATAGGACTCACACCTTAAATGGCCCTACAACTATGAGGTACAATACTAACCTCAGCCAGACTCAACCTGATACTATCTATCTGGGCAGCAAACCTCTAAAATAGAATCTAGACCAAGATTTTTTTGTGGGGGAGAAGAGAGGAGTGGGGAGTAGATAGATACAGGAAAGATCATTTGCCTTTTTAAATCTTAAGTGATGGCCATTATCCTTTGGCATATACGTGGATAATATGCCAGTGCATATCTGTTTAGCCCTACCCCCAGCCCCGAGAGGTCAGAAAACTGATACAGAAAAACTTAACTAGTTCATTCAACAATACAGAATTAGTAAGTGACAAATGACTTATTTGAACCCAATATGCCGTTTCCATAGAGATGCTGAAGTGCCCAACCAAACATATCTTTTTCTTTTGAAATATTCTGAGCACAGTGGAGAGAAATTCTGAAAACAAGCATGACTTCTTTAAGGAGCTTATTTCTGTAAGCAGGAAAAATCTGACCTCTGTGGGATATTGAGATAAGCTATGAAGCCACAGATATAAATACAGTATGGTATTGGTACAATAACAGATAAATAAAGTAACAGAACTGAGACAGATCAATGTTTATATGGGAAACACAATAAACTACCAATGGCTCCATAAATCAATGAAAAAAATATGTATTGTTTGAAAGGTGATGTTGGGAAAGTGGCCCACAATACAGAGAAAAACAAATTGGGATTCCTGAATTAACAACATATCCAAAGATGGACTAAATTTAACAGATAAAGTGATGAAGTTGGGAAAACGTAGGGAGATATCCTTGGGAGACAGGGGTAGGGAAAGACTTCAACAAATCTCCCAAAGCACTAACTACTTTGCTTGCAATAAACTCAGTGATTTCTGTTTAATCAAAGTAACATCAAGTTAACTGGCAATGATAAAGTACCTGTAACAGCTAAGAAAACAACATGGGATTAATGTCAAGAATACACAATAAACTCCTGCACAATAACAGACACTGCCCCCTCCCCAGCAAATATGAAAGAAAAAATAAGCAAAGAATATCTGCAGGCAATTCACAGAAGAGGAAACCCAGGGGCTAACAGTCTTTGCTACACAGAGAAAATTAAATGAAAATAAAATACTGTACTGGCAAAAACTGAGTATTAGGAAAGAAAGGAGATATGGGAAAACTTCACTCTCTGCTGATGAGTGTAGACTGGAGAAAGTATTATGAAGAGCCAATTATTTGGCAATATTTAGTCAAAATCAGCATAGTTATGGCCCATGGACCTTTTGAGGATATCTATTGCAGCCCTGTTTTGATGGCAGAGGTGGAGGCAACCTGGGATACCTCAATGGGGAAGAGGATAAGTAAAGTGTGGAGGGTGAAATATGGAGTACTAAAGAGCAAGCAGAAGTAATGACCTAGACCTGCACTCTCCAGTGTAGAGGCCACTATTCATGTTACTTTTTAAAGTTAAAATGAACAACATTGAGTTCCTCAGTTATAATAGCCACAATGCAGAGGCTGCATGTGGTTAGTGGTTACAATATCAGACAGCATAGATTTAGAACATTTCCCATGTCTATCATTGCAGAAAATTCTATTGAACAGCGCTGCTCTAGATGATCACAAAATAACATGAAAATTTCTTTAAAATGATGCTGAGAAATCTAACAAATATATGAAAAAGAATTAAGTCAATAGAACAATTATGTAATTTGAAAACTGCATACACAGACACACAATTACAAGGATAGCAAAAAAAGATGCAAGTTACCTATGAGGCAGGGAGAATGGCAGAAATAAAGATACCCAAGGGAATACATTAGTAAAATGAGGTGTACCTCTTATAGACCAGTGAGGCTAATTAACCATATTAAAGAATATTATTAACCCCCTCACTTCAGGTACAACAACAAATATAAGTCTGGTACCCTGGGGGAAAATGTAAACTCCAACTGTGATGTCCTTACTAACAAAAATTGTTTAGGATGCAAAGTGGGAATTTTTCATGTTCACATTGCCAATCACTTTTCACTTAAAATTGCACTCATCTTTATCTGTCTCAATCTCAATTCAGAACTTCACTATAGAACTTTCCTCTGGGAAGAATTTGTTGGCAAGACCAAATTGTCATAGGCACTGAGAATAAAAGGTGAAACAAATTACTCAATCGCACCCACATTTTACCAAGAGTTATTGTATAGTACTCTTCACAGAGCTCTTTTAATCAAATGCAGCAAATTCTAAAAATGAAGCATTATCTAACATTATCTAAGAAAAAGTGAGTACAATTTAATTTTTGTACTTTTTAACTTTATTTAACAATCAGGAACGTTAAGCTATCTGAAATTTTCTGGGAATGAAAAAAGAAACATGGTAAGATGAAAATAACAGCCTGGCATTGCTCAGCAAGGGTTTTACACAAGAATGAGTTAAAGCATCGTTGACTGATTTTTATTAATGAAAGAAAAATTTTAAAACGTATAGTGCTCAGTAAGTTTTCTTCCTTTTATAATCTCCAAATCGATGCCAAGCAGGTGGAGTTAATTTAAAGATACCGTGATACTAAATAACACTGTATTAGAAAACACATGATACTGAATATGTGCCAGACATCAACTCATTTAATTCTCACAACACTAGGAAGTAGTTGTATTAAAACGTTCACTTGACAGATGAAACAGAGATTAAGTGATTCGCCTACCAGGGATACACTGCATCACAAAACTATGCTTCAGGATCCATCCCTCCGACTGATCGCCCCTGACGATTCAGACTTGCATGTACCTGGAGAATCTGACGGTGCCACAAAGTGGAGTTCCCGGTTCGTGGCTTACGAGCCACACTGCTCGCTGGGCCATGATAAGCCGCTAAAGCATCAGATCACTTCTAAAGCCACCACGGAGGAAGAGCGCAGACCAACTTCCTCAGACGGACTTTCATTTATCCGAACCACGTTCTGCCCCACCACAAACACGTCAGGCTCAGCAGAGAAGCTAGTTCCTTCAAATGAAGAGAAATAAAACCTCTGAGTTCGTCCGGGCCGACCCAAACGACAAAAGTTCTGTGAACCCTCACCAAGAATCTAGAGAACTTACTATACCTCAGCCACTTTAGGAGTTGCTTCCTCCAAATTCCACTTCCGGGATGGTGGCTCGCAAGCACCAAGGTTCCCCACTGGCTGGAACGACAAGCCTCTGCAGTTTGCCCGCTGTTCGCTTCCTTCGCCTGCCCCTCCCGACCGCCGTGTGGGCGCGCGCAGCTCCACTTCCGGCGTGCGAGGCGGTGACAATGGGAGCAGCGAAGGCGGCGCCGGGAGGCAGCTGACAGGCGTCTGCGGTTTCGCTTCATGGCCGCTCTCCAGCCCCGCCTGGGCTCGGTGGGAAGTCGGGGAGCCCGCAGCGTCCTGGCGCCGGAGCTGGCGAGCTGAGCAGGGACCTGTGTGTGGCGCCGCTGAGGCGCAGCATGTGAAGAGGAGACGGCGTCCAGCGCGAGGCGAGCCTCTCAGCCGGCCGGGATGGCTACGACGGCCGAGCTCTTCGAGGTGGGTCCTGGCAGCTTTCAGGGAGTGACAGGCCCGGGGTGCAGGTAGCGAGATGGGCAGGCTGAGGAGCGAGCGGGTGGTCACCCGCGACCCGGGCGCAGCCCTCGGAAGAATGGTGCGGGAGCGGAGGGGTGGGGCGGCGGCTCGGGTGTCGGCGCGAGTGGAGCGTGACGTGGGGGAGGGGTGGCACCGGGACATGGGTTGCAGGGGAGGGAACCCGGAGTCGGAAAGGAGGGAGGGGGCCTGGGAGGTGGGGGCTTGGGAAGGTGTACACGGGGTGAGTGGTGGGAAGGGCTGACCGGGACGCGGAAAGAGGAGTCAGGAGCCCCAGGCTGGGCGAGCCCAGTCCTGTCGCTGGGATCCTCGCGTAATTTTCCCAGGGTGCCGCCTGAGATCCGGACGATGGGGGGCTTCTCGTTCTTTGTAATCACAACGTTAGTGGGTAGAAGTGGCACTCGCCTCTTGCCCGTTTACCCTCATGATGGAAAAGGCCGAAGTATTTTTTAGGACAGTAAAGGCCTGCTGAGCCCTTCAGAATCCTTGAAGGCAAAGCTAAAAAGAACATTTGTGTGCGGGTCTCAGGGAGTTGGTGTGTGTTACAAACCTCCCCTAGCGGCGAGCGAGGGGGTCCTTAACGCGGAGACGGCGAGAGTGCTGATGTGTTTGTTTCCTTGCGAGTTCCCAGTCTCTAAAAGTTAACATTTAATGTAGTGGAATGCAGGGTGGAAAGCTGTAATCCGTGAGATAACAGAATAGCAAAATTCTCACTGGACCACAAAACAATGAAACGTATGAAGAAAGCTTCTCCTTTTGTGAAAGAAATGGAAACAAGATATGAAGAAAAAGGAAGACCCGTTCTGTGCGTGCTTGTGTTTCATATTGAGTAACTAAGTGAGAATTGAGAAGGTCGCAGTTGACAATAGAGAATTTCTCCAAAAATGAAAATTGGATCCTTTTTCTGCTTTAGATTCAGCAATTACTTCTTTTCTTTTTGGCTTAAAATGTAAATTCCACCGTTTTTATTACAGCTGGGAATTTTTCACGTTTGTTACTGTTACTATATTTCAGGTTTCTGTCAGCTTTTGGATAATACTGTTTTTGTTGAGAGGAATATCATGCTATTGTTATAATAATTTGTAATAAAATGGTGATTTGTGAGTGAAAGGCTTATAGTTACGAGAAAGAATTTGGAAATACTAATTACATTTTCTCATATTTAAGTATTGAGTACATTAATTTTCCTAATTCCATCTGTATATTGATTGACATAGGAGAAGGGAGACATTCTTTTTGCTAAAAGCTTTTACTGTGTGTTGCTGGGCATGATACTGAAGTATGAAGTTCTGTAGTTCTTTGTCTTTTTTATTTATTTATGTATTCATTTTACATCTTATAAAGGTAGAAAACTATTTTTGAAGTTGCGATTGGTAATATACCTAATGAAATATTTGGCTAGCTAGCTTTTAATAGAAACCGTACTTTATCATACAGTTCCTAAGGCATTAATCTTTGAGTTAATGAATACTGCATGTCATTCCCAGTTGTGTCTCAGACAAAACTACGTCTATTTTTCTTTAACCATTTTATCACATGAGTTCCACATAATTTACATGAAAGTGTATTGATTTATGGCCCCCTCCAGGAGGAGGGGAGGAGGTACAGAAATATATATTTTGCTTTCTAGGGTCTCATCATTTAGTAAAGTAGTTAAGTCAAATTAGGCTTTAACTTAACTCAGTGACCCCAGTTATGTGATAGCTGGTAATAATTCACTTACTGAGAGAGCAGCGATTTTTCAATGGTGAGCTGCAAGAATTTTTAAAGCCTGCAGTGTTTGACTATTTTAGTCAGGGGCACATACCTCTTTTCCCTGAGGTTGTCAAATAAAAAAATGACAACAGCCAATACAACAATGGCTGTCTGGTGTGAATGAATCAAAATTATACCTATTTTTTGTCAGATCAGCAAAAAATACATTTTTTGATGTGCCATAGAATTTTAGTAATTAGTTTATGTGTGCCATGAGATGAAAAAGGTTGAAAATTGCTGCTGATAGGGTAATGATAGAGACAGACTAGTTCTTTGGCCATCATAGAGCAATTTTAAACATTCTTATGGATCTTAACTCATGTGACTTTCTTTTTCCTGACCATATGTTTGTGGTTTGTTGTTTCATTAATATGAAAAACATTATTATATTGTTACAGTTAAATGTTAAGAATGATTAAGAAATGTATTTACCCTTTCATTCATAGAGTAGGCTCTGTCCGCTTGAATAAGTTTTCATTCCTAAGTGAAAAATTGGTCCCTTTGCTTAAGAGGGAGGAGAGATAAAAATCCAAACCTCAGGCTTTGCTGCTGTTTCCTGTTGCTACTTGGCTAGGCTCTAGGTTGCTGGGCAAGTCAGGGAGTGTCTTTTCCCTTGCTTCCCTTTCTTAGTCACAACTGGACAGCTGGAGAATTGTGGGAAGTAGAGGTCAGAACACAGTCAAGGATATTTTGTTTTTATGCAACCTGGTTTTAGTGCACTATTAAGTTGAATTGTGCTTTCATTTTTTCCCCCATTGAAAGTGGTCCAATCAATATAAAATTTTGCTTTGAATTCATGAAATCTCATTTGTTAACTCTGCTTCTTTTAAAATCTTATTGGTCCCATGAGACTGCCTTTTTTTTTTTTTTTTAACTTAAACACCTTAGAACCACAAAATTAATTATAGGATATTTTCTTAGTTTGCAGAAATGATTAGTTATATATTATTCAGTTATTTTAATAGTGAAGTATCCACCCTGGCTGATGTGGCTCAATAGATCGAGTGCCAGCCTGCAAACCAAAGGGTCACTGGTTCTATTCCCAGTCAGGGCACATGCCTGGGCTGAAGGCCAGGTCCCCAGTGGGGGTCTTGTGAGAGGCAACCACACATTGATGTTTCCCTCCCTTTCTTTCTCCCTCCATTTCCATCTCTCTAATAAATAAATAAATAAAATATATTTTAAAAATAGTGAAGTATCCTAGAAATTCATGAGAATACCTTCTTAGTTTCAGCCCACATGGGCACACCTTTCTAAAAGGATCTATGTGCAGTGTTTCTAAATGATCACCTGTGGATGGACATTCTAAACAGGAAGTCTCTGCGGTTTCCTCCATATATAAAAAGTGACTGGGGTACTGAATTCCTTTTCTGTTGTTGCAAATATTCTTTTCTCTTACTGCACTACTGAGGACATCGTACTCCCTTGTTTGTTTGTTTGTTTGTTTGTTTGTTTTGTCTTGTTATTCTTCTGGAGTCTTTACTTCTCTCTACGCAAGTTACCTTAATGGGAGAGTTCTTTGTTAACTCTGGTCAATTACCCATTTATCCAGCAAATTTTTGTTAAGTACCTACGAAGTTCAAGATGAGGTGCCAAGATTAATGAATCTGCATGCCATAGGAATACTAATTCTATGCTATGTGCTTCAAAAAATTCAGAATGGTTTAAAGGCCAAGTAGGTTTTGGAAATGGACATACTTTGTTTCATTAGAGTTTTATAATATGGCTTAGTATGTTAAAAATTCTGAGAAGTTCATTTTCCCAACTTTTTTGATTATGATACTTTTATTTTGTAGTGCTTATTAGTTTTGTGAATTCCATGAACATACTTTGGAAAATGTTGAATTGTATATAGAACCTGCCCTTATTGTTAAATAGAGAAAGGAAAATAGATATATAACTACATACTCTTGAAATAAAGCTATAAATGGAGTCAAAGAGGTCTAGATAAAATCCTGTAGGACTTGGGAGAATGGGAAGACTCCTTCTAGAAGTGCGGAAGGATTACGAGATGGTATTTAAATGCTATACAAAGGATAAGTTAGATTTGAGTTTGTGGAACTGGGTGGAGGGATTTTATAATACAGCAGGCAGTGAAATCTAAGACATAAAAGAAGATAACTGGAGAAGAGTTCATTTTGGCTGGAGTGCAGAAGAAGAGGAATGGCATGTGAGGTAAATTGAATTTTAATTGTAGAGGTCCTGAGTGCTAGAATTAGGAAATAGTTGTTTTTTTTTCTCTACTGTAAATGCAGGAGCCTTGCTCATGATAGTGTTTGAGGTCGTGTAATTTGACAATGGCTCTTTGACTTCCAGATTAGAATTTGAGTTGTCAAGAATGCATTTTCTCATACAAACAAATTTCTGTCTCTTAAATTTTCAAACTAAGTTACAAAAGCTGTTTAAACAGATTTATCTCTTATAGTGTTAACTAGCTAAAATATATTAACAAATATGAGATATTCAAGTAAGGACCACTCCTTTACCTTTAAGGTACTGAAATGCACTTGTTTTCAGCCGTATTAGCTGTTAAATAAATGTTTGTGGAACCTGGCTATCATGTATGTGAGTACCATGTATGTGAGAAAATGTATTCATTCAGCAAACATTTTATTGAATACCTTACCTACCCTAGTCCAGAAGTCATTCCAAGTACTGGAGTCAAAAGGTGTTTTGAGTTGAAAATCTAGTTGGAATGAAAGGAAAAGAACACTTTCTTCTCTCAACACTCTGCCACTGATCTCAATACTTCACCTCTGACACCAGATGTGTGGGGATTTTCCCCACAGTTCAGCTTTCCAGTAGACACTGACTGGGTGTCCTACAATTCAATTTAATTCTGACATACCCTGCCTAGAGTTAGCATCACATCCCACAAGTTAAGAGCTCAAGTCCCACAAGACACCTCTACTTTAGATACCAGTTACAGTCCAGGTTGTTACCTGTGCTTCCTACTGACTGTCTGTGTATTGGGGGTTTTCATGACTGCCTCTTGAGATTTGATAATTTGCTGGAAGGGCGCCCAGAACTCAGGAAAACTACTAGGTTACTGGTTTATAATAAAAGGATACAACTTGGGGACAACCAGATGAAAGAGCTGCATAGGGCAGTGTATAGGAGGAGTGCAGTGCTTCCATGCCCTCTTTGGGTGGGCCACCCTACCAGCATCTTGATGTGTTTACCAACCTGGA